GAAAATCCGAATATCCATCAGAAAGAGTGGGGAACAAATCTGTATTTGAAGAGGGACAGAAGGAGAAACTAACGCACACACTGTTGGAAAGTTTCAGATAAACCTCAGGTTGAGATGACCTATCCTTCTTGTTCCTCTCAATTAAGACAGTGATCTTAAACATTGTGATAAACTTAACACGAAAGGTCGATAGATTGCAATTGAAAGTCAAGGGATTACATCCAGATGCTATAGCTCTCTCTGAATAGTAGATCGCTAGTTATGCGTTCCAGTTGACTCGCAACCTCTGTTCCCATGGAATACAGAATAGAAGATTTAACTGTTTAGTGTTTCAACACACACTACTCCAGTCACATTATTCTCGAAGCATGCCAGCTACTTGATAGTGTATAGGGCAGTGCGTGTTTAAAACATAAAATTATCAATGACACTACCACCGTTGACCTTGTAGAACGAAGTTCAGCGGTTTGATATCACACTGAAAGATTCGAATATTCACGCTCTTATAGGTGACCTCGGTGACCTCACTTAGCTTTCCTTAGTACATCCCATGATAAACGTCCACAGATTGAACTTTAAGTTCCTGGAAGACGTCTTGGATTAGAACTTTGTTCACCATGTACACCAACCCTCGAAGCGCCAGCCTAACCGAAAAGAGAATAACCCAGGATTGGTCATGACCCCTGCATAGCATAATATCAATAATCCGGAACACCACTGAGCTCTATTTTTCTTTCATCCTTTTATTGACAAAGAATGACAGGTCCTCATGTGTTCTGTCACAGCTCTGGATGGTAAAACCTACATCATAACGATACCCACGGTATGCTAACCGCAAAGCAATTGGGGCTTCCTAACGATCTGAACACTGAAGAATTGTGGCTGAGTTTCAGAGACAGGCTTAACTACCATTTATAAAAGCGAATTTTTTCACTGTCGGTATTGTAAGACTTAGGAATTTTTAATGGAAATTTCGTCCTATAAACGGGATTATTCTACACTTAAGGGTCAAGAAGCATTGTACAGCTGTTCTGTCCTCATCGACTATCAACAGCAGTGCGTTTCTGACGAAAATTCAGGAAGTCTCCAACCCACGGCCTCCCGGATATTAGTGTGGTCAAATACCCTTTCATTTGATCAGCAGCGTGAGTAGCCTACTGGTAGACGGTTTTTTACTAGGGTAGCTCGGTTTTCGAACTCGCAGCTAGTGACTTCTATAGTGGTGTAGCTCTTTAGTGCCACGAAATCCGCGTAAAGTAGTTACACAGGATATGTTCCTCTTGCCATCCACCTTTCCGTGGGTTGAATAAAGTGAAAATCTAAGCGACGCAGTTTGAAAATAATGTGCTGCATAATAGAATGGAAGGAAATCGACTGATTTTGCTAACGTCAGCCAAATGAAGCTTTTTACTTTTGCCGTGAATAATCGGATGCCTCTGGAGATGATCAATCACGTGGATTTCAGGCTGAAACCCAAAAGTTTTGGGAGCAGTGTTACGTCCCAAATGGTTAAGTGTGTCTGGTTTGTTGAATCAACGTCAGTGAATGAACAGTTATTTTCAGAAATTGATCCAGTGGATTTAGCAATGCTAGAAGGAGCGCAGTGATGGTCAGCCCTCAATGGAAGACAGATCATTTCCTAGCCAAATATTTGGAGTTTATCCAGTGAGTGAAAAAGTGAACACATTAGTCGGGAGTAGTTTAATTACTTGTCTAACTCAAAACCTTACAAACGTTCCACAAGAGAAGCCTGAGTAGTGGACAATATTAGTTAACGTATGTTCATCGTTGAGTGAGGCGCAGTCTGATGATTAGAATCAAAGATTGTTGATGGTTTCGCGAACTTGACATTTCTGTTGGTGAGAAGATGCATCAGCTGGGTTTTCAGTCAGATCCATTTATGGTTGTTCTACTCATGAAAGTGTGGGTGAGTGATCAGTCACCGTTAACGAGTTGGTACAGACCGGTATTTGGATGGTATTCATTAGGACATCAGCTGATGAACTCCAAGAAAGCTGTCTACCTGTCCGAAATGGCTGTTTTGCAGACTGCTTAGCAAGGGGATTCACCAGATGGAATGAACTATCAAAGGCGGATAATCGGCGGATCTTTCAATCTAATCGTAGAATTTAAAATCAAGCTAATAGCCAAAGAAAACTCGGATTTGTGGGAACTGACAAAAGAACAGATAAAACACCCCTAACTTAAGTTGAATGGTTAAGTGGTCCTGATTTACGGTGATTTCTGGTTCACTCACGCACTATAGAAAAGCATGGGCGCTGTTTTAGCATCCGCACTTAGATCCTACATATTCCTTCAACTGGCTTGCTGGCAATAGGTTCAAACATATCGGACTCATTCACCGTTCAGGGGAAATTCCGCCCTGTGTTTGCGAAATGTAAAACAAAGAAAGCTAAACGTGACGAATACTGATGAACCCAAACTCCTGTTTGGAAATTGTGAGCCATGAAGGCACATTCTAACCGTTTTTGGTGGATTATTGGTAACAACTAATATATTGGCGTTATAATTACCGCTTTTTCGAAAAGTTTCGTAAGCACGAACCGCCGTTGAAATCTCCCGGCAGCGGTGGAGTGACCTCGACTATGAGTATTGCATACTTTCCAAAAACAACTAATTTGTGCTTGTTCTTTGTGGAAAATGCATACGAATTTTGATCGAGCAAGAATCTAGCCTTCAATCGAAATATACTCTAGAGGTTTAAGATACGTGAACCATCGGTTTCATGGGTGACATCACCGTTAGGGTGCGACGACACCTATCCATAAGTCGCTCAAAGATAAAGGGATCTAGCCTTACGCCTCACTAGATTAATTCATTTTCGCCACAACCGTAAGTTATATTTAGGTTCTTTAATATGCATTATCCCAGTGTGTTCCAATAGTGTGCACCAAAGTGACATATGATAGCCTGTGGAAAAGCCGTATTGAGGTCAGCACCACAAAAAACAGTCCTCCAGGCTAAAACTCAGTCGAAACCAGCAAGATGTATATGGTAATAAAACTGGCATTTAGTGAAATTACTAATACAAATGAGAAGATTGTCACGGTGAAGTACGGAATCCAATGAACTTAAACTAGTTCATCTTGTGATATTTTGGAACTCGCATTTGCGGAATACGTGGGTTTAGTTACTACAACCAGTGAAAACAGAAATGCGGTCACTGAAAACACTTTAGGATTTTACAAAAAATAATTCCAAATATCAAAAGAACTATTAAAGTTCTAGTAAAACTCTTTCTGATATTACGTGAAACAAACTCGGGAAGGGATGTCGACTGTTCGTGGAAATGTGGAAATTTAAATGTTGAAATATGGAGAAGACGTCTACAGCTTTGTAAATGTGGATTCCTTTTCAGTATGTGGCTTTGGTCGTCGGTCTCACTGAATTTCAGTCACTTGAATGCTGGCTAAACTCAAAAGCGTATGTAACAAGATAACTCTTTCCTGCAGTGAGGTTTTCGTGGCTCCCCATTGCCCTCACGTCATGCTAGTTTATAGGGGACTACAGTAACAAGGCTCTAGTTGACGGGTTAAAAAATGCTTATTGCAACCAAATTTTTCCCCGAATTTACGTTATGCCATTAGGCTGTATCTCCCAAACGATTTGGCCGGATTGAGTCCCGCCAGACAAAACTACTTTTGAAGGGAGAATGTTCCGTCGAATAATAAAATGCCTACCTTTGGTTAAATTTCTCAAGTTAGATGGCCTATTAGGTGGCCTGAGATGTAGTAGTAAAAGGTGTCGCATGACTGAGACCACCGCAAAAACATTTTTGCTAAACGAAACCAATTTGGCGAACACTGTCAACAGTCTTCTAGAAATGCTTATGGATGGCAATTTACAATGCTTGTACTCGCCTGTCAACGTGAAGCAAACGGCCTGATTTCTTTGAAGATCATTCGACCAGGATCAAACAGGAATTTCTTTGCAGAAGCTTGTGGTCTTTACTCTCCATGTATATCCATTAGACGATCCGTGCTGACGATTTCTTTCACATCCTTAAAAGCGGGACTGCAGTATAAGTAATAGCAAAAGTTATACTACCAGCTCCCACTTACGTCAGTAGTCTACAAATATTGATGTTTCGTTTCCCATGCCAAGCACTGATACGATAACGGACATGTATGATTTCATATACAACCAGTAGGTGCCTCCGTTCGTTTCGGTTGACTTGTCAGGATAATGCTTATGGTGCATCTATCACATAATTGGATTAGGGTGATTTTAGTGCCCTTGGGCCATTTGAAAAATAACTTTCTCGCCTTTTTGCCATCCCTCCGAAGAGATTTAACAAGTCATACGTTGTTCGCTATGTACGCTGCATATCTGCCCACTCGAGGTGAAAATTATGAAACGAGAAAGGATGGTCCAAGATAAGTCCTTGTAGTGGCCTAGTGGACAGCTTGATGGGCGCCCTCTGCCAACTAATGTCGTGCAGCCCTTTAACTGTAAGTTTACCGATGGCCTTTTTCTCGCTGTCAGCCGTCAGTTATCAAGTTGTATTTGTTTGAGGGGGGCATGCACACTTTGAAGGACGCTGATTGCATTGTGCATGCAGTGTTTTTGATATCATTGTGTTAAAGTGGCTGGATGTTACACCACTTCATGGCCCTAGCCAGAATTATCGGGTGCCCCTGATGAACGAAAGACTCACCAAGTTTACAGGCGGTGGCATTGTACTTGCTTCAGAATTTATCAAGATCTGAGCGAAGTCCCATCGATACAGGTAGGCAAACAAAATGCGTATTATATAAAAAACGCATTCTTCTGCCGGTAGTCCATGTCTTTTGATTAGTCTATGAAGCACAACATGAAAACAACTGCTTTAATGGAGCACTCCGGTGGACATCCAGTGAGGTCACCAGAATATTACTAAGCTAATGAAGCAGTGTCGTGTGTCTAATTAACACCGACGTACTTTTCATTTACACTCATTCATTCCTCATCACATTTACATCTCCCAGGGTGACAATTTTATGGCACGTAGTGTCCACGCACTGAACATTGCAAATGATATCGGTGAGCAGTCATACTTCCCAAATCCTAACAGAACATCCTCAGCCCAATTCAATGAGCTCAGGTCAAGGCTCACCATCCCAGAGCAAGCCCGCAACCTCATCATCCCCTGCCAACAGTGCAGTGTCTTGGATGGTGTATATCACACCACAAGCACGCGGACGGACTCCGTGGCAAGTACCAACGGACTATCATGGCGACCCGGGGAGTCGGTCATGACGCTCTCTGCGACTGATTCAGATAACCAACCAATCCGCATTCAAATACTTGGAACTCCGAATGTGGGAAAAACAACACTTTGTCGACAAATGACCACTTCCGAATTTCTCGGAGCTCGTATGGAGTCAAGTAAGTTGAAACAATCCGCAAAAAAAGAGTTTTATTATATTTGTTTTCTGCCTACTGTATTATTTACTGTAAAATGGCATCTAAAACTGGTCCGGATAGAAAACACTGCCTAAAACACCTGTTTGATGTGATTCTAGGCACTGGTTTGGCGTTAAGATGGTCAAATTTTCCGTAGGTCCATTGTGCTTGCTTATGCTATATTTCACTACAAAATCAATCAAAGTTCACTAAGAGGACAATTGAAAAACTGTTAGGTCATTCGGTATTTAATGCGTTTTAAGTCACTTCACACTTCGGATCAAAGGTCGCCTGATTCTTCATAAATTAAGTTATTTTTTCTTGGGTATGCAAACAGGTGGAACCAACATCAAACCAGGGGAGGCGACGAAAGTAAAACGGGTTTTAACTTGTGTAGCCTTTTCACCTTTGCTCCGATGGAGCTCGGTGCTTCTACCCGCATTGCTCAATTCTTTTGCTTAATAAATGCTACAATAAAGTAGACGGCCAGAAATGTATGGCCCAACGATTTTATGGTTTGGTCTCGGACTGATATGAAATGATCAGGCCTGAGTAGTTTTCCATAAAAGATGACTTAATTAGAAAAACAAACCGATCCGCTGGGTTCAAAGAAACACATTCCGTGTGTTGCAAGTTAAATTTAACGGTAGATGGAGAACCTGTTCGTCAGTCCCGCAAAAGTGTGACAATCTGGGATTGTTTCGCTGCAGGCTAACAAATTGAGAGATTTTGAAGTTAACTGGTTGATCTTTGGTGTGTCTAAACAACGACATCCTGACTATTGAGGAATGAAATTCGGAAGAACGGTAAAAGCATATCACAACCACAAAGTACACCTTGCTACAGGATCATTGATGACGCGTCCCCAAAATCAGTCCCCTATTCTCGAAAGAGTCTCACCAAAATCTGAAAGATCAAATGTGAGCTCACTTGGAAGTGCCCTAGATGTGCGGAAGATAGCTTATTTGCTGGAGGCGGTAAATGAGTAAACAAAGTGATTTTGATGCAAACGCTGGATTACTTCATAACCATTACGACCCAATACACAGTTTTTGCAGACACAACTTGATTAGACTCATTATTGGTTTACATAAGTTTCCCACAGTTAACTGAGGCATCATGCAACCGATGAGTCCCTGTCTATTCAGAACCTAGGAGTGATATGTAAGTTGCGTACAAGAGCCCGATATTGGCTTCTACAAGTTGTTCGTCATGGTTCTCGAGATTGAGCAGATGTATGAAGATGGAGTTGTTCTCAAACAAGAATTTCATACATACCTAGCCCAGTGTCTATTTCATCCTTTTCAACAAAGAAACGTCCCCGGAAACGTCACTGCATGGAAAAGTGCAAACTTAAGACATCTATGGAAAACAGGTAACAGTAGCATGATGGTGGATCCATCAGTGAAAAAATTCGGCACGGATATCTAGCACAAACTTGTCATTTGCAGTAACCTCAAACTGTGTGAGTATTCCCCTTCAGGTAACTGTTTACTCCAGTGTGGTCCGCGGTACCGGTTTACACATGGGAAATAAAGGGTATTTGCTGACAAGGATAGCAAGGGTTTGTCTATAAAAAAGTTCTCAGGCACTTTATGTTCATAGCAGATTGCTAAGTCTGAGTATGATATGTGCAGATTTTAGGTGAAGCTTCTGTTTACACTTCTGTTTACACAAAACTGAAACACCATTCGAATAAAATGAGCTCCATTGAGATTTATTTCCATGATTCCAGCCTCAACCAAAGAGTGGATTACGGGGGGTTTTATCAGAAAAAATGCTTGACAGGGAGAAGACAGTGAGGATTTTTTCACGGCCTAGTATTGGGACAATTTGCTAGAATCCGAAGTTTCTGGGCAGAAATAAATGGTAAGGTTGGATAACAGCCAGCAGTAGTCAAGTCCCAATAGCAGATTTTTGATCTTTTTTGTAACACAATTTCCAACTAAACTATTCTTGAGGGGCTAAGCGGAGCATCGCTTTACAAAAAAGCGAAAATTCTAAGTTCTTGCGAACCATTTTCAGGAATTTAGTCGGCTCTCTAGGTATCCGATGCAAGCAAACATTACGTATACGCTCTGCATTATAGTTTGATCATCTTCACACCATTTGCTGCATCAAGGCTTACCAAAAAGTCTTCAAAAACGCAGGATTCGGTTTGTCTACTGAGTAGGCGCAGTCCCCAAGTTTTCGTCCAAATTATTCTCTAGTTGAACACCGAAATGCACGTAATTTCGCGAAATAAACTAACTTTTAAATGTAGTTGGCGTTAATTGTTATGAGATCACAAGCGGAGAATTCGGCTCGAGTTTATTTGTGACTTCTGTTTATGCCAACTTGGTTCTCAAACGGGTGTATGTTGGATCTTAAAAAAGTCTTACACACAGTAGGTAGATATTTTGAATCGTAACCAGCGATCGGTGAGGTTGGCAATTTCGCGCATTTTCCAACGCGCACCACCAAACGTTTTCAGACTAAACGTTTGGAACACGTTAACTGGATTATTTTGTCATCATCCTGCATTCCTATTTTTCTCTCAAAAGCGGATTCAATTAAGGTCGTGTGCATGGCTTTGTTCTGGTTCACATTTGTTTCTGAGCCTTATTTGTATACCTTGAGACCGAATAAATGAAGTCCTTTGTTCTTTGTGTATCCACTTCCGGGAAATAAAGTTAATGCACCAAATGACGTCAGGCAGGCATCGGAGAAAGACGTAGAACACATAACCGACTGCAATGGGATTTCTTCAGTCACCCGATCCGCGAATCGTTAAATGTTTTGTTCATATCATTAGTGCAAGCAATTTTTTGAGCTATTAGATTTTTGGTTTAGGTAATAGCACACGATCAGTAGAATGCGCTTTTTTGAGACACGAAGGGCTATTCAAACAGAGTTTGATTATTTCTTATTAGAACACTAACTTTCGGTTCGGGTAGTCTATAGTTGTGATGGGAAGATAGTATATTGTAGAATGGACTAATGTTTCCACACGCAACGTATCATGATGATTAGTAAAATATAGCAACAATTATAACCTATTTTGCAGACGAATCTGATGAAGCGTTTAAACGCCTAATGCGTATTAGTTGGAGTCACGCGGAAAACACATTTAGACCATGAAAGGAAGACCTTGTGATGGCAAGGTTACTTTTTTCAGAACTGTGACGCATTACATACACTGGAACTAGGAACTGACAAGTTATCAATCGATTTTCTATCAACAGATTATCGGTGGATTTTCGCATCAAAAAACGGACAACTTCTGTTGGGCATCCGATTTGCCGGGTGTATGGCTGTACCAAAAGGAAAAGAACGGTGGAAAATGCGTGGGACAGAGACTGGTTGGTCCAAAAGAGGCCCAAAAAAAGTGAAAACCTGCGCATTCAGTTTGCACAGGATAGGTACGAGTGAACCAATTCACATTCAACAATGAGTTGAATTAACACTAGGTTAGCTGAACTCAAAAGAAGTTTAAACGGCCGAACACATACGACAACCTGGAAAGATACGCACGCATTTACCACAATTTAAGCTACACACATTGCATTGAATAGATTAGACACGGTGCGTTCAAAGAATCCTGCACGGGCGGATAAACAAAAGGCTCCATCTGAGACGTTTATTGCAGGTTTTGTTGAATCAAATAAGTAGGATAAACTGCTATATAAACTGCGCATAATACGGTCAAACCAAGAAAAGAAAATTTTCCCTCCACAAAATGCTATTCAGCCCCTATGTGCCCTTTGTTTTAGAGCCACACAATACTCTGATCCAACCAAAGTACGCGATAACAACCTACCAAGATTTGTAGAACATCCCTGTGCATGAGCTATAGTGATTGATGTTAAGCTTGCTTGTGTAACGGAAATAAACAAAAAACAACTATTTGTTTTGCGTACAGGACTGATTAACATGAAAAAAAATAAACATGCAAATCTCAACACAATCACGCTTCCAAACATTTATCTAGTTAGCCGGAATAGCTCCATGCCATAATGCTGAAACCGGGTGGTAAGGGGGTTCATTGTTATGTCAGCTTTTTCATTGCATTGGTGGTCCGTGTTACCACAATACCGAAAGCATTCACCAATGATATTTCGCTGGTATTCCTTGGAGTTTTCCCAACCATTACACTGTTCACCGTTACCCTGCCTTTCAAAGCGGTATCTGTTTATGAAATTCATACGACTAAATATGTGATGCGTTTCATGGGGTATATTATGAGTGGATACGCAATCTGGAATAAGCCACCGTTCATGATTTCATTTTTATCCGGTTCAAACGCAGTGCATACTTCCATGAGTAGTATGCTTGTAGACGTCACATGGTCCCAAAAAATTTGTCTTTCCTGATAATAAAGCGTGGTTGCGCTTTCGACGAACTGTCGTAAAGCTCTTGTTGGCTCTAGTGCACCGACATAGTTGGGACCAAAAGAGGACAGACGTGCACGATAGTTCAGATACACGAATTTTTGTGCAAGCATTATTTCAAAGCTACGCGAAACCGGTTTGCCTTGGTTGGAAACTTTGTCATCAAATTCGAGACCCAAATTGCTCAAGGAGTGAAGCTACCTGATTCATGCGCGGTGGTTTGTTAGAAGGGAGTGTACTCGTTTTACTCAACTGTACACAAGATTATCATGAGAGATAATGTGTCCCGGAACAAAACAGTTCACGTCGGTGATATGATGACACCGGCCAGACAGAGCATCACCTTATGTAATGAGGTGGTGGAAAGAGAAAAGTGGCAAAATTGATCTTAGAAAATGTGGTATGTAAGTCAGAACTACTAACAGATCCTCCCAGGCAGCATGTCAGAAGGCATGGAACAGGGAACCCGTCAGAGATCCTTGTTGCGTCAATCCTAGTTGACATACACCTCCCTGGCGCGCCAAGGTATGGTTATATTGGGTCAGCTCGCAAACAAAATCTTACCACGATTAAAACTATCTACTAAATTTGGAGAGAATAGATCATTCTGGAGGCACATTTTTCCCACGGCGATCACAAATTGTTAGTTACACTAGGAGTCATAGTAGATATCACCGAAGAAAGGATGTAAGCATATCCAAGTGTCTTAAACCAGTTTTGAAGAGTAGATTTTATTGCGATTCTCACATAGTGATAAACCACCGTTGTCCGTTGAGAATTACCTCTCTGGTAACCTCAGCACGGTGTTAAGCGTTACGTAAATTCCAAACTGCTAACTTCAGTCGCAAAAATAAAACTACGTGTTTCTTATATCTCGCATTTATTGTACCCACATATTTTCGAGATGCGTGGATAACATCGGCCACGCCAACATTATTTTAAGCAGCAAATTTCAGGCTGTCTTACTATAGTTCACGAGTGTCCAAACACGAAATTTCTGCGCCAATTCACCTCTTGGTGATTCTGTACATAAAACTCCAAACAGCGACAAAGCACAGCACTATCCACATCTATGTACAAGATACGAACCTCACTGAACTAACGATTGTGAACGTCTTTAGAAGACCATATCGAAACCTAACATCCTAGCTTTTATTCTTTTTCCACACAACTTCACTCGAGGCGTACTCATGTGCCCAAGAGAGTTACTGCTCTACCAATAATTTCAATTGACCCCCTTCTAGCCCTGGTGTCATTAGGCTTTCCGGAGTCTGAGAATTCAACCTTGAGAATAGAGAAAGTTTTGTTGGCTCTAGTATTATTTTCCGCACAAATCAAAGAGAGAACAAATGGTATTCAACTATCGGCACAATAAACAGTGAATATAGACTGTTTACAGAAATTGTGGGACCAAACAGCCCCTAATGTCTACGGAGTCCCTTTTTATTATTTATTGAGATGAAAGTCATTAATCACGACAGTCACAGCTCAAAACAGCCAACGCCAGCGTCGGTATTTACCATGGAAATCATTAATAGACGGATGTGCGACCGTGCACCTGTGTCATATTTTAGTTCTCTATGTACTAATGACAATCCACTGCTCAGAAATATGTCAACTGTGGATGGCGTGATGATACAACTCGCTCATATGAACAAAATGCCAATGGTTTCTTGCCCGCTGTGATAGTACCTGGGATACTTCAATAGTAACCAAATTGCTTTCACACTGTTTCACACTGAAATTCCGCCAACGAAAATGATTAGCAATGAAAATAAAAATTTCTGCGGGTGGGTCTCAATATGCATTGGTGGCCACCTGACTCTAGGTTTCTAGATTACAAATGCTCCTGAATTGATTTACTTTCCATGTGAGCCAGTTCCCATTTCCCGATAGACTTTCCAAGCTAATAGTACGACACAAAACAGATACACATTTGTTTCACTAAAGCTGACTGACCAAACAGTGACCCATATTCTACGCTTATATCAGCTATGGGCTGTACAAAATTCCATGACATACTCCACTAGTACGCGAAAAGGCAACGAAAAACGTCTCGGTTCAATCATCTTATATTTCTGGTGCATTTATTATAGTGCTTATGATCCTCGTTCTAGCGGGAGTTAACGGAAAAGAGAAATAATCCCCCTTTAAAGAAAACCTTTGGGTGATTTCAATGTGGTTCTTCAAAGAAGATTTTTGCCATGCTAGGGTGTTAAATAAGAATCCCATCGAATGTTTCTCATGAAACCCCATACCTAGCCAGAGATAGCACATTAGGCAGAAGTCAACTCTTTTAACACAACTTTTGTTTTACCTGTTGCCCGAGAAATTTGATGCGGCTTTTCATGGATGGATGCACGGTTCGGAAAAGATGATTGGGAATGATTTTCACAATTTGCCCGCATCATTAAATGACGGATGAGAGGTTAACAATTAACCCATATTCTTCCTCTTTTCTTCTCTCACATCACTGCATATCTGTCTCTGATTTGTTCTACAGCTTGAAGTGTGCCATAGTTTTTGCATTATTCTGTGTGAGTTTCACTTTAGTATCTGTAGATTTCGTTACGTGTGCTCTTACCGGGTTTTTTCGCTCACGCCTTCCTCTCCATAATATTCAGTCTATATAGTTCCTTCTGGCCCTTCTTCTAATACCGGCTGGCAGATAATACTTGACAAATCACAACCTTCCTACAGGTCTGTCAAATTTGAACTTCCGCATTGCAGCAGTCCCGAGTGAAAATTTTCCCATTATTGTTCTATTATATAACTGAACTCTTCGACTCACTACGTGAGGAGGCTTCATGTAATCAATGAGATGCTGTGTAGTAGACTCCAGTCACAGTTGCATGCCTAAGTCTAAATAAGCGGTCGTGTTTGTCAAGCAAATTCTGGGCGCCAATGCGGTGAAAAGACATCTCAATGAGCTTGGAAAAGCCAAAATTTTTGCTGACTTGGTTAGAATTAAAAGTTGGATACTAATCATTTTATGTCAACAGCCTTCTTTGATACCTGCTTCACCTGGTCAAAGTAACTGATCGAGAAGAAATTAATCTGCTCCTGATTCTGCCTTAATTAACAATTGAACACTTACCTTTCCGTCCAGTTTCAGAGGACACGGTGGAACGCTGCGTCACGGTAGAGTTGGACAGTCAGAGATGGAATGTCTTACTAATCGACAATTTTGGTGAAGCCGGAGCGGAAGATGTGGCCCTGGTGCGGAACATGCTTGCACAAGGGCTGAAACCTTCAGTCAACGGCGAACACGATCACCAAGATAATTCTGAGCAGCATAGTCGAGTGCTGCATTTGCTACCCAGTTCCAAGGTAGGCAGAAGACATTTGTCTTCAATTACCACGTTTGATTCTCCGACAGAAATTGCTCTCCTGTAAACTGGTGATCAACTCTGAAAAAAGCAGGTAGTCATGGTCCTTATGTTAGTGAATACCAATCGTTTTATGTAGGTGTCTTCAAACACCTGATATATATATATATAGTGTATGTATATAGTACATATATATAGTGTTACACCTTAGTTCATGCACACCTGGATGCCTTTCTTTTAGGGCAGCCGGAAGCATATCTTTGACTTTCATTGCAGGTTTATCATACATGATGAGGTAGCACGTAGATATATATGCCATGATTTAGTGTCAGCCCTCTCAGCATGAATCGGAATTTATGGATTTGCATCATGGGAATCAGTGTGACAAACGGTTCACAGAAAACGTGAAAAAAACATAGCACGCATCACGGATTGCAGGAAACAAAATCAACGAACCTCAAACATGGAATGTTTAATTAGCTTACGAAAAATATCTCAGTGTGTTTCAAATACTGGCTTGGGTGGCAAGTGAAGTGGTCTTCGCACTGAAAGTCCGTTGGATAAGGTATCAGCTAAAAAATTTTGGTCTCGTATTCACACCATCTCAGTTCGTAACCGGGTTACTGACTGCATAATAATTTCCGCTTGATATTGATTCCTCAGCTGCACAAAGCAGTTTTCAAGTAAAGAGCTTACAACTGCAACCAGGGGAATCTCCTTTGTTCAATCCAACTTAGTCTACCTAATGAGCACACAATAATAAACATAACATCTTTAAGATAACAATAAAACTAATAAATGCTGCGCGGCTGAGCGGTTAGATGTTCAAGCTGCCACCCGGGAAATTACATTTTGAATGTATTCCGGGTTTTTATGGGTTGCGCACTGTTGATAATTCCCAACAAGGTTGAAACGACTGTTCGCTGCCTCACGGCTTTCCAGCATAGCCTGTTTCAAATTACAGAATGAAATCTCAACCCGAAATGTGCGTGAAAAGCTTTACGTTGGCTGCAATCTTTCCTCCCAAACTATCTTCCCTATTTTCAGCATCAGAGGACACATACATAAAAGTCCGATGTCTGTGGAGCTAGGTCACGCATTAACCAACTGGCTTCCCGCATTCATTTCGATTAACCTGTCCAAAAGCTACTTACTGTCTGCTGCAAATGCTGCGTCGGAACTCTTCCTAAAGTTTTCTTTATCCAAATAGCAGTCGTCTTGAAACTTTAAGTTAATCAATTCAAGCTCTTGACCGGGTTTCATTACATATTTTGTTTTCTAATGTGAAATGCTTCAGCTAATGAACTGGAGCATCAGCTTACACTATATTTGCTGCTTACGCTATCGTGCAACTTTCCAAACTTTTAAAGCTTAAAATGTTTCCACCTGGAAGTTCCCATCCCAAATGCTTGAATTACAAGCGTCCGTGTAGACTGTACACCCCTCTGGATGTTCCCCTTTTTTTCAGATTTTCCGATAGTATCTCTCTGAAAATAAAGGCAAACACATTTTTAATCAATTGAAAAATGTTTAGGACCGATTGGGTAGTCGAGGCGGTGGGAATTGCCAAGCACCCCAGAGGGAATAGAATAGCTGGAGTAGAACTGACAAACGTGTGGAGTGTGGTATTAGATCAGCTGAGGTCATGCGAGGCGGTGTACAATTATCAGTAAAGTGGTCCGGTTCTAAAAATAAAAATCCAAGCAAAGTAAGGTACAATTAACTATCAAACATACCATCTCCAAACCCACTTTTCGACAAACGCAGGCGCACGAAGTCTGTGAGCGATTCCTAAGAAGAATATCCCATTAAGACGTCCTAGTCCAGAAAAGCAAGGTAAAAAAATCCGGCTTCAACATTAAGACAATCCCCCTAAACAAACCAATCCATCGTAATTGGTAGTCATCCCCACTAACCAACAAACAGGAATTTCAGGCCGACATCCAGCACTGATCGAGTCGGCCAGTCATAAGAAATCTCGCAGATTAGTTCCCTGACTACTTTCCAACCCGGTTACTCACTTGGCCTGATGAAGTTTTTGTGTCAAAACGGAAACATCGCTCAGTAGTAAGTCCACTGATTGTGTACCAAAAATCCATGAAAGCACAGTTTGATTTATAGCGATTATTTTCCATTTTATTTAAGTTACGAATAACACCATGAATTTATTCCATATGCTTCTCCATGAACTCCCGAATAAAGTTCATTGCATTTGTTCCCTCCTAAAAATTTAAGTCGAAAGTCCAGCTCCAGTTAGACTAATTCGTAGCAGGCATGCATGGACTGTTTTTTTCAATGGTTCATTTTACTCACACTCCCGGATTAGCATTATTAATTACTCTGTCTGAGACATTAGCTGTCCATTTCACTGTCACCCAAACCAAATGTTACCGGCCGTCTGAATTTTCGAAGGCCGTTGCTAGGCGTACCCATTCTACTCGTTACTGCCACGACGCCGATTCGTTTTAGGGCAGACGTGGAAATAGTAAACCACTTTTTGCCTTTGTTACCATAGTACGCCACATCAAGAAACCGTTTGTAAACCGTATTACGTAACTCCATGAGCAGTTGGCTATCGTAGGAAGTACATCAACCACAACAAGGAGCTCCCATGAGGTATAGAAAATATCGCTGGTAAATTTAACTCTTGTGCTGGTTTCAGAGTGATTACTTCTCCAAAGTGGGTTGAATCTGTCTTTGTGGTTATTCTTATAAGGTCCTGATCCTGTAAACTTCAACAGAACAAAATTAGACGACAGCTGTTTTCGTTGGTTTGTTCCAATTAGGTGAACCACAGAAAAGATACCCAAATTAGATCGTTCGCACTTGCAAATGGAACGTAACTGCATGCTTTAGCTTCTGGATGGTGAAAATTTTCAAATCAGAGCTTCGGCTCCGCTGTTGAACAGATGTGTCCAGCCCATGCTAATGGAATGGTGGCAACTTATTCACCACGCATGTCATGTAGTGATGTATCAACTCCTAGGGCATTCAAGGAAATGGACTGTTGAGGAATTAGCAGAGAAACGCAAATGCACGGTCACGTAAACTCTAGTGAACACCAGTCAGATTATCGCGAGGGAAGTTCAAACGACGAAAGTTTGGAATTAGACATCTGGATGAGAAATATGTACTTCTTCTTGACTGAACTAGCTGACATTCGCAGGTGTCCAAAGAATAATCAATAAAATCTGATGAGTGTCAACAGGAGGTGTTTTACGGCCAGAACAGATGTCGTCTATTGCCACAAAATAAGCTGACAGATTCAAGAAACGGAATATACGCAAATTTGAGCCCAACCATTTTGGTGAGGTAGGACCACATGCGATTATGTTTGGTGAAGCTGACTCACGCAGTTTTCTCCAATTGGTAAGAAATCGGTGTATCAAACTGAGTTCTAAGAATTTGCAAGTTTTGAAGCTTCCAGAATCGGCTATTCTGAATGTATAAATGGTAGTCATTTTGTGAAACAAGTGGAAAAATATAAATTTTCTTCCAAAAATATTTGCAAGGATGAAGAGATTCACTTGGTTGGCGACGGTCACGACAACAAAATTTCACTAGGATCAATGGTTTTTCATATTCTCAGAGAAGTTACACAAAGTACCTTCGGCATTAAGTGTTACCCGTTGTCTTTTAGAGCACAGGATGCCAACTGTTGCTAGACGTTCTGGTTTACCTGCTGGTCTATGCAGTGGATGATCAGCGCTCCTTCGACTACGCAACAAAAGTCTTGGAAATTCTGACCAAGAAAAATTCAGAACAAGGAAGTATTGTCATACTGGTCGCCAACAAACTTGATTTGGTTCGTAATCGCCTGATTTCTTCTCAAAGTAAGCACATTTGTGAGGTTAGCAGGACCTATTCGGAAATTTTGTAACTTTGGTCAGTCACCTACAGAATACCGACAAATTAGCACATGATTCAATGAAACGGTTTGAGTTAACATGATTCGGTACCTGATTTAAACGAGTTCGTTTATTTGTTGTTCACATGTGCAACCATGCGTTTGAAACCGGTAATGGTGGGCGTTGTCACAAATCCATAAACTAAGTCAATATTTATATTAACTGTATTGGATATTCACATCTAATATGAGCGGTTACTTTGAAATCGCAGTTTTGGTGTAATGCTTCACTCTGATTTTATTGTTTCCTTTGAGACGCAAATTCATTGGAATGAATTCAAGTCCCAACCGTGTTGTCGTTTCCGCACTGTTCGACGCGCTACTGCTCTCGCATGAATCCTATTCCAGCTTTGTCTAAGCATCTGTTTATCCTATTGTGGTCACATTAAGCTGTTTTACTGAAGCCACGACACAAGTGGAGATGGCCATACTAGTGATCCAACATATGTATTTGGTTCGATAGTACACTACATTTATCATAAATGAACGATTTGCTGGAACTACCAAGAGGACCCTCAGATGAAAGCATAACCTTGAGGGAGGAATAACTAGTGCGATCCACACCGTTAATTTTTGGAATCCGTGTAATGTGATTCTATTGGTGCTAAGAGTGATCACTGGTAACTTTTGCTTCACCTTGATTTAGCGTACCATTATTTTGATGTCCGCGCTAATCCAGGACTGTTGTAAATTGGTGCAACCCGGTGCATTGCACAGTCTCTTCAATTTGTAACCGGGAGGTGAGAAAGGGGAAATTTATTTCAATATATTCACTGTCAAAATAAACCCACAGATTATATGCATCCCTTACAAGGATAAGATAAAAACAATATTAATTATCAGGATTTCGATGAACATGGAGTTTTCCAAAATACTCCAATTCTCAATTGACATCAAGGAATCTAAGCGAAATTTGCCTCTAGGATACCTCACTGACACTGAAGTGCATTGGGAGATAACAAAACTGATCAGATTGGTGAGTAGATATCAAACTGGTCTTTACAGTAGTATACAATACGATAGAGACACTACAGTGGCCCCGCAATTGAGTTCCCCTTTGAGCTCTAACATGATAATAGGACGACGGATCAGTGTCGCGACAAAGCATGCGGCATGCAATGTTCTAGCAAAAAATTTAACATTGGCTTCAGTAACGTTCCACATACCGCGTCACATATGAACGAAAGTGGAAACGAACTGACTTCGACTTTCATGTACCTTATTCTTGGGGATTTCATTATGAGATTTGATTCTCAAACCACCTCGTTAAAACAACAATTTAGCGTCTCATCGAGCACATCTGCCCATCATATAGGCGCCGGACAAGATTCCCACCAAATTTGAGAAGGACAAAGCTGAGAAAATGTATGCTAACCCGTTCATGTAGGCCTTTGATATCGCACAGTTTAGTTGGTCAGGCTTTTGTTCTGATCGGAAACAACCTTAGGAAGACTGAATTTCCTGTTCCCTTTTGCGTGCAGCCAATAAGCTTCAATCTGCCATAATTATTCAAAATATTCTACTCTGTCTTATCCAACCAGTGCCCTATTTTCTATTTTGAACATTATAAGATCATCATCATCATCATTATCAGCTGTAATAACCGCGTACTCGTCGTACAGTGGTTGCAGCTGCCGCAGTTCCGTTCACCGATGATTTGGGGGAGGGGGTAGGTAGTTGCGCATTGCAGGCGCGAGCTGGTAAGTTGGTGCATAAATCCAGCACTGTCGGTGGCGGGGGGGGGTTGTAAAAGGAGCTATGCATTGAAGGCAATAGCTTTGATGCACGAGCGCCATTGAGGGCGCTTGTGCGGTGGGAAGGGGTTGGGGAAGGACATCGGTGGACGCTGAACTGCGCGGGCAAATGATTCTTCCCGGTTGCCCAGGCCGAGAAAGGGGGTTTGGTTGAGTTACCCGACCTTGAGCCTTCGACTGAAAAGCCCAACCCACGAGGCAGTGGGGGAGTGTGGGGTTTTGTTCGGGGACCCTGCCCCTAGCCTCTGACTCAAAAGTCTGACCCACGAGGCAGTGGGAGAATGTAGGGTTTTCTTTGGGGACCCTGCCCGGAGCCGACGACTCAACAGTCCGAACTGCTTGGCTGCAGGAGGTTGGCCTAACCCGAGGGCGCAGGGAATAAGACATTACTGTCTCATTCCTGATGCGGCTGCGCATAGCAGGTGCCTTTTGAGCAGCACCGGGCTCTTTGGTTTTAAAAGTATTTCGACCGTATCGGATAATGCGCCGGCGGTCACGGTCAACCGTTGGGCGATCGGAGTGTGCGGTTTTTGGGGCCGACCTTTTCTAACCCGTCCTTCCTCAGGGGAAGGCAGCATCGCTGCTTCCATGAATATGGGCATGCTGGTCGCCTGGGGGAAACACCTTACTGCCTTCACACTCCTGTCGCAGAGGACAGTACGAATTTACCCCCAGACCGCGTCGTAGCACGATTACTCGTAGCACGGGGTCTCGCTGCTCTTGGTCTGGCTGCTCCCCTTTGGCCTTCCTGGCATGATTGTACCTTGTGGAATGAAGTTCCAGCCAGTGTAGCCCGCGAGATCATTGCAGCACTCAAGCCCGACCACCACGTCAAGGTGGCAGCTTTAGGTCGGGGAACATTATAAGAAGTGGCTGCTGGACGAAGTGCCTGATTGGACAGGCGTTCAACCGGGATTTCAGTGGCCAGTTTACTTGCATACAGTAAAGGAAATTTAGTGTCAGGCACAAAAAATATTTAGGCATGTCTAATATACTATTCCATCTGAGGAAATGCGCACATTTCTACTCGTGTCTGTCTGGAAGCTCATTACTGATTGGCGTTTCCATGTGCTTCTCGGTTGTATCTATCTTTTCTGTGAATCTCGCACGTTTCTAACAATCGACAGCGACGAGACATATAATTCCAAACACTGCTTTAAAATGACGCAGTGCTAAAGAATGAAACAACGCTAATCAACGGAACAAGGGTGAAAAAACGCTTTCAACCAGATTGCCCATCAATTCGCTGACACATTCCATGAAATTTTCAGGAAATGGCGTTAGACGACCTCCCTCCAAGCAAAACTTCTTTGGGTAAAAGTTGAATGAAGTGTTTCCAATCCTTTAAACGTCTTTAAGTTCGTGTAGGAAAAGCCCACCCTGACAGCCAAAATGTGAGGATTATTCTCTTGCATAACAAAGCCACTAGGGCTCGTCATGTTATTGTGATTTGCGTACTAGTGCGATGTTTTGGTCTACACTGGGGCCCTCATTCAGACACTCACTCCAGATTGATCATGAACCTGGTCTCATAACCGTGCAGGTCGGAAGTCGGAACAGGCACGGCTTCTTATTCCCCAGCAAGCCTATGTTAACGTGGTAGTATGCCGCAACTCACCCGTAATCACTTGGTTTGGTTTTTGAGCCAAAGGTTTTGGGTGATGACCCTGTCAAGGTGTGGGTAAATTGATAATATCTCACGCCAGTGTAAAATGTAAAACGACGAAATTTGCAACCTAAAGTACCCCCAGTCATATCTGCCAAAATTAGCTCATGTGATAATCTGAGTGCTCCTTTAAAACGTGGCAGAGCCTTATGCATAATTTTGGTCGTTGGTTTCATGAACTTGCAGAATAGTTTGCTTAGCACTGCTGAAGATCAAGGGTGATTATTTTGAGTTCACCATGGAGCGCATGGACAGTATAGAACGCACATGGCAGCTCTACGCTGACCATAGCCTGCTCACTTTCTGTAGTAATTTCCGGAATTCGTTTGGCGATGTAATGTGTACCAAATGCCCGACCCCAAACGCAGATGGACCACATCCAATCATCTACCTGTGCCGAGGGTAAATGACCGACTATTTATCTTTATGTAATAATCGAGAGAACAACTGTCATGCACTTGTCCAGCGTTGCTTTCAAGGTGCGTTTTAAGATGTGTCAGTTTTGCCTAGCCAATGAGAAGTTCATGTACTCATGAATCGAACAGATTTTCAAGAACCATGTCCTCAATACCTGCCCCGTGGTATTGTATCGGATGTTAATAAACACTCGAGAGATATTCAAAATTGTACCAACCGCTGGAACCTCTAACTACGGTACAACCCAACTAGCCACTTTTAAACATTGAATGTTTGATAGAACCGTAGATTTGCTGAACTTTTACCGGTAACAAACACGTTTCACTCCGACGCAACATTCAACGTCAGATAAAACTGATTGCGCCATGAAATTCGGAAGATTGATGAGGTTGTCAAAGAAGTGGAACAGACGAAAAATGCTGAGAAAGTTCGTAGGTTGTTTTGTCTGGCTGGTGAGTCCATAAAAGACCACAATGAGTCCCCTCATCCCGTAAAAGAGGTAATCCATATCACCATGCGGAATACCTTGAGCACCTGTTCCGTTGGTTACCTGTTATTTTCTTTGTGAACTGTTCGCGTTTGACAGAGACATGATCTGTGAATACCAACTCCCCGTCAGTTTCAAAAGTGTTCAAATGTACATTCTTACTCAGGCAACACCTACCCTGCTTTGCCCTAGGACGGCTAGCAATTTCTCTATTAGTGCCTGTCTAACTTATTTAAATTTAAAGGGGATCGTTCTTGACAGATAGCTGCGAGAGAATATACGAGTGCCCTACTTCAAGTACTCCCAGTGAAAGTAATAATTACATATTTGTCAGTTTGGCTCCGGTTGCAACAAGGCTTCTGGTGTCACCACTTTTCAGTCCTCCTAAAGCAGTACGCTAAACTTTAGTCCATGAACACCAAGTGAACTTCGACAAAGTACAATCTACAAGGATCATACTTTCACACTCCTGCAGGTGGTGGAGCAGCAGCATATGTACAAATAACCCAAAATATTCATAGTCCTTGACTTTAGTGGTATGTTTTATTCTACAGTGTTCTCATCAAACAAGCCTAGACAATATATTGATCGGTATTTTGTTACGACAGTTAGATGTTTTTAACGTATGACCAATCGGGCATGTGGCATCTAACTTTTGAGAACCAGTCGACTACCTTACTCTTTAGTAGCCATTATCTTCTTACATTACTTCATCCAATCATTTGTTTAGTATGCACATAAGTACCGCAAGTACCAAAATGTCTTACTTCAGTCGAAAGCCAAAGGACATTTTATATCCCCCAGTATTTCTACTTTTGAGGTTTGCATCATGATTGCAGTATCGTATGGACACAAGCAGTAACTGAATTCACATGTGAATATTCACTTTAACAATGCTTGTTTAATACTGACAACTGTCTGTTTTGTATGTGATCAGCCGTTATTTAATCACGAGTTAGCGGCCACGCTTTCACCGGAATTGACCTGAGTTATAAGCACTATATGTTCGAACATATTCAGCACTACGTCATGTCAACTTACGGGATCATCTCATGAACACAGGTGAGACGCAAAAAGGTTAGAAAACGAATAGGATACTTCTTGTGTTTGGAGGAATTTAAATTCACCCCCATGAATACCATATTTTCATTTTTGTGTTATCAAGCAGGGGTTATAGGTTGACTGCGTCGTTTTAAAAATGTTAACATCATTGTTGGTGACAATTCATGCTTGTTCCCAATAGTACATTTCGCTGCGGGTTTACCCCACCGTTGTATTAGTCTTTCTACATATTTACCAATAACTAGAAGCAAATGTCAATTCCATCTGTAACCCTACACAAATGGATAGGAACAATTGTTTCCTCTGCTTTATGAAGTAATTCTGGTTTCCGCAGGCGTGTTACAAAGGGCCGGTGAAATTGCATTTTGCGTGTGTTTCAGATGAATAAGACCGATTGTTGAAATAGCACTTTTTGATTGTAATGCCGAACGCTTTTGTGATACCATCATAGCATTTTGTCGCCACGGCAAAAGCTACGTCTTCCGGCGCAACAGAAATGTCGTCACCTGCCAAAAAGCAGGAAGTTTCGTGTATGCCGTTCGGTCGTTGAAAACTTCACTCGTTTTGTCAAATTTCTCATCAGTCGATATCTTTTAGAGCAAGAGAATGGTAAGTGGCGCGCATACATCATACTTGCCCTTAGTTATCAGGCGAAAAACACCGGTAATGATGACACTATTTTCTCCCTTTTTCGGTGTTCATGAACTCTGAGGACTATTTACAATGTGACATGAGGTTAAATAATAAACTGACCACAACCCGAAGACAAACAGGTTACGTGTAAAACGTACGCCCATACATGAACTACACCACTTGTAGCTGCTTCCACTTACATCAATGAATAAAATATGCCGCTTCCACCCGTTTTTCGCTTGGAAACTCTTTGTTCAGCTGAGTTGTGAAAGTGTGAAGTAAAGCGGAAGGTCATATTCGCAAAACTGGTAAACTGACGTTGACAGGCAAAATTCTTGAATGCGATCAACCATGCAAGCGCTCCTGCTGCAACATAGCTATGGTCCTGCTTATGTGTACTGAACTTCGCCGTCACTGATACAGATAACAATCGGAAAAAAGGCCTGACAATAAAACCAACGGCACAGTAGAAAAACATTCTGAAATTTCAATTTATCAAGAGAAATCAATTCACAGAGTGCAACCGAAATACAGGGATAGACGAAAAGCCACTTGTGCACAACGTTTTCCATTTTGGAATGGTTTCGGAGTAGTCACATTATTATTTTCTCTGTCAGAAAATATTTTCCCATAGAATAATTAAGATGAACTTATAGGATATCCACACGGGAAACTAAGATATTTTGGAGGAATCCAAGAATCCTGGAAGAAACTAGGAGGGTTTTTCACCAGTACAGGCATAAAACCCATGGTGATTCCTACCTGGTAGTCACCCGAAACTTGTAAGAGTAACCTTAGCTCCTGCCAACACCACTAATCATGTTGGCTTGGAAATGTGGGGTAACAGCACAGAGTGTTAAGTATGTTATCCCGGAGAGTTTCATTCCGTATGCATTTGATCAGAAAACCTGGCGAATTCGAGCCAGATAACAACCGAAGCAACATACAGAGAGATGGCAAGTTTAACCCAATAAGTAGTATTTTTCAGGAATTTAGCCTAGTAAAATTTTGCCATTCATTGTATTTCGTGAGACTAGTGGGCTTATAAAAGTGGGTCCCAGGGTTTAAAAAATGATTTGTAGTAGAATTCTACGTCAAAGGATCCGCTGAAAAATTTTCTTTCCCAAAACACTAAAAACCGCCGAAACTAAAGTTCAGTCTGTCTTCATGCGTGAAATAGTTTTATGCTGAAACTGCAAAGCTCACGCAACTAGGCTCACTCAAAGGCTACTTAATTTAACAGACTATTGGATTTGGCAGCTTTACAATTTCTGAGACGGTATTAACCGAGGCAGATTTGTCTGTAAGTTTCGTCATCTGAATGTGGGAACAAATGAACGATTAGTGAAAAAACAGTACAAGATCTCACTGCTTATTCTCTGGAAAATATCGGAGTGACTGAAAAGTCAGCCCTGTTTGTCGGATTAGTCGGATTAGGATGCCTTCTTTAGTACTCTCTGAAGGCCATTAAATCACGCTGATCGACAGCGTCGCAGATATAAACCGTACCTGTGTATTCAATCAATTTATGTTTGTTCCCTCAGATACAGGAGTGCTCGAGCTTTGAATCTGTGGCAAATAGTACGCAGTTTGTCACTTAATGTGGATTCACGAGTCACATCGTATAAATTTTGTACGAACTTTTTGAGCGCAATCGTCGCTTCCCCATCAGCTATTGATACATGGATCGCAGTATTTGATTGCAAACCTTATGTACAAATTACAGTTTTGGGAGCTGTTTTGCTTCTTTGAAACAAAACTTTTTAACCCGGATAAAAAACCCAAAAGTTAAGCTGAAACTCATATAACCTTTCAGAGTACCAATTCTCAACCATGGTGTGATTTTACCGGCTTTATTTTCTATTTCGTTTGCACAAACCTTTACCAAACAGACAAGCGCCCGCCTACTTGAAACACACCTTTCCTACCAGAATTGCACCTTTTGAATACATAGTACTGAGACGTCAAGTAACATGTTATTTTTACTCTTTTCAGAGGGTAAACGTCTTGCCAGGTTGCACGGATGCAAATACTTTGAAATATCCACCGCTATCAACCATATGATCGATGAGCTCCTTGTTGAAATCATACTTCAAGTCAAGCGGTTAAAACAAAAGTGCAATACGGCAGAGTGTCAGGAAAATCTGAGTTCGGAAGAACACTCATCATCAACTTTTTGTCTTTCAAAAGCAGCCTTGGCTCGTTACGTTCGTCGCCAGTTTATGATCATTTCTTGTGAAGATGTGAAAAATTTCTGATGCGCTTTGGTCGACTGTCATTATTTTTCTTGTTCGTTTCCAGTGACATCCATGTATAGTTTTCTTGAGGCGTAAAGTTTTTAGCTGTGCTTGGGTTTGTACTGTCTTTGAAAATTTGTGGAACATTAGAATCCACTTCATTGGATTGCAGTTTTTATTCTTGCGCATAGCTTGAAGCCTGTAATCCAATCACAACACTAATCCTCTGATAACAAAATTTTTAGCATTTATCGTGGGCGGAGAGCACTTTGCTGCAATATTTTTTCGTCCATGTAATTCTTCATTCAAGTGTCACATGGGTGACCCATAACACAGTTATATAAGATTTAATTTAAAAAGGCACTACCAAAGGTTAGTGAACGCCTTAAAGACAAGATGAACAATTTTTACGGGCGCACCTCCATTGTGTACACCACCACAGAGACTTTACGACCCCAACTGACAAAAACAAAATAATAAATATGACGTATGGTAGACAGAAGAAGCTTCCCAATCATATAGTATCCCCACACACTAATGCACACGAAGTGAACATTATAACTGTAAGTTCACTGATGCTGTACGCTGTCTTGGGACAAATCAGTTACACCTTTATTCAGCCATTCTTGAAAGATCGATTTGGTGTTCGAATGCCTATCTGGATGGTAGCCAGTTCCACACTTTGAAGAGTTCCATTAAATAGCTATCAGTGAGCGTCTCGGGTCGAAATTCATACTTTTACTTCAGCTTTCTTGGAATCACTGAGAAAAACACTATGAGTTCATTGTCCCTATTTTCTGCTATCTGATAGATAACGTGGATTTCAGCTGTTCAACACAGCTTCTGGTGGCATTCCAACTGATTTCCGCTATAAGTTTGTTGACTCATTCATTTGGCATGAGTAATTAGGAGAAACGTTAAGTTGATAATTACAGGGTGAGTCATTGGTTAGCCTGTGCTCATTTTCCACTCACTTATGACTGCTACTTCAACACAAGAAGAATATCTCTGGAAGCTAAAAGTTTTCCTCGGTTTAGCTGGATAACAGCTCTAATGAATCCCATATCTAACACGAGCGACAGATGATTGGACATTCACCAGCCCAATCCAGCGAATGAAATGCTGACGTCAGCAAAATTACTGAATGACCACCTCAAGAAAAATAAAGAATAATAAGGAAATAAATCATACGTAAATTCCGCATGCAAGTCCTGCCATAAATGGGAAGGAAGGCGTATCTTTGCAATAATGATTAGCATCACAATGCCACATACATTAAGCTTTTTGCAGTCCACTCAGAAGGTACTGTCACAGTAACCAAAGGCTCATATGGTTCACAGTTTTGCGACGCTTAACTTGTGGCTGTGTTCTGTGAAGTCCGCCAGAGGCAATACTTTATCAAAGAAAAAAATTCTGATATCGTGAATGAGCCAGTCTAATGAACATTTTAAGTTGCGGCTGCAGACAAAAATTTTTTCCAGTATTTCTTTAAAATTGTACTTACTTCTCGTTCACTCCGTTCTCATCGTGCCTTCAAAAGCCCAGGTCATATTCTCTTATCCCAATATTTCCATAGCGGTCACCTTGCCCTCTTGGACGGGCTTCTGTGTTGCAAGGTCCTGCGGTCTATATTGGCTGAAATTCAGTTCATAACTGTTCACCAATGCTCAAACTATTTTTGTTCGCAATCTCAGTGATCTGTTCCAGGTGTATGCATGAGCGCTCGAGACATGTGGTTATTCCGTCGGTGAATCACGCGTGTTCACAACACGCCTACTGATAGTTGGGTTTGTCTCGGTTTCGCTCTGCATTAACTCGGAAGTCAAGCTAGCCTACGTGGTGTGAATTCACTCCCTTAATCGACGCGTTGGCCGCTCCCTTCCTCCTCCACCACCTATGCTCCCAATGTGCCAGTAACGGCCCTCGTATGTGGGTGGAATGTGATGAGGGCGGGTGGAGGTGGATGTTAGGCTGGTGGTGTTCTAGTCGTGCCCCATTTGCAATTCCGAGATCGAGGGCGCATTCGAATCGGGTGACTCACTGAGTCGTGACTTAATCAGATGTGACTGGAAAAATTATGTGAGCATTGGTGAATTATGTTCGAAATTTTTCAGGGCACTCGAACAGCACGACTCATGGGGGCCAACCATCACAGCACTGTGGTCGTTTCGCCACGTATTTCTTATAATGGACCTGGTGTTTCAATCGGCTTACCTCAGTGTACTCTTGTTGTTGGTAGGATTATTTGTTGCACATCCTAGCCAGGTTAAGGCCACGGCCTGGTGGAACTAAGTTTAGCATAATCCCGTTCATTGAGATGTCGTGAGTTGGACATACTATGACTTTCATTGTGACTGCGCACGAGAGGCAATCGGAGATAAACTCGGCCAAAAAGAATGTTTATTCACGTTCCCCAACCGATTTAGATGGATATCATGCTGACCAAGTATTATCTATCGGCCAGACGGTTGGATATACATTGATAGCAGTGCAAACTTGTTCTGACACTGACAATATGCTGTTTGTCAGGTTTGAGTAAGATTCTGGAGACATCAGTGTGGAATCGATTCCGAAATATGTCAACTGTTCTAGAGGGATCGATGAATGTTCTGCCAAACTATTACACATTGAACGTAAGTCCCTTAAATTGTTACTCAAACGCTATGAATCGACAATTATCAGCATGGGATTGCCAGGTCAAAAGTGAAGACCACATAGCGGATTGGACCGTGGCGCAACTTAGGCCGCGGTGTAAGCTTGGGATATTTTGTCAGTGTAATCCGCCAAGAAACGGAGCCCAGTCATGCTAAGGAATCGGGTTATGCTATAGGCTTTACTTCTGAAAACCCTAGGCTGGCCTGCACTGAAGAATTTACGGGTATGTACTCCTTGCCCAAAAATGAGTCTCTACTGTCTGATGCGAAAGTGGATCACGCGTAACTCTGGTATCGCATTACTCAGGATGATAACATTATCTGCGTAGCCAAAAGCTTTGACCCTGGTCTGAAAAACGCTTTGAACTCTAGGGTAGCTAAGTTGAAAGGAGTTAGTGATTGCGGGTTGCCTCGTCGTAGAGGGGAATTTCACGCAAACCATTTTGCTGGCCCTCCGTAAACCCGAAGAGAGACTTTCATCTGAAAAGTTAGTCCTGATCACAGTTGATATTTTATCAGTTACCTCACAATCTTTCAAAAGATGCCGGGACTTGTCTCTCGGACTCAAGTCAACGCTGGTTAAAGACCGAAAATTGGGCTGTAGTCATCTACTCGAGTTTGAATCTGTGTTGTGCGTCCCGCCACACAGTGAATATTTATCAGCACAAACTAATCCGAGCATGACGTCTCATTTGTTGCTTATTTTTGCTTTACAAAGGCGGGAAGGAAATAGCAATGCAAGAAGACATTCTGCTGAGCCATCTATCAGGTGCATCCTCGATAAAACTGCTCGAAATCACCTGTGCGTTCATGGATTGATATTGATTTGTCTAGTCCCTCAGAAATATCGCAATAGTTCACATTAAGCAGCCAATCATATGAATGCATCCAATAACCGAAGGTTCATTCGCAGGTTCCTTTTGCAGTTCGATTAGTTCAGCCTGTCGACGGCTTTCGAAGATAGTAGTGTGCGACCGAGAACCAACAGTGACCAATTGGGTATCAGATCAAGCCATAGCTCGCCTTGGGTATCAGATCAAGCCATGAGCTAGCCTTTTCCTGCCGACTGTCCATTCCTGTCCCCTAGGATGTCTTCGCTAAGGTTATGGCGACTGAGGCAGAAGGAGACAAAATAGTCCGGAAATTTCGCCAACGTGCTTTTTTCATCATATCGGGAAAAATATCAGATAGGTGACGCAGACACTCGATTTATTTGATGGGTTGGTGTTATTTACAGCACAATTTCAATGCAGCCGCTTCCTTAATCGCAAATTTTGTTCTTTGGAAATATTCTTTAGCGACAGTAGGTTGAGACTGTCAGGATATTAGTGGGCCGTGGAGAGTTCGAATAGTTTCTTGCATCATCAATGTAGATGAAATTGAATTTTTTTACCGGCCAACTTTGACTACTGCTATTGAAGCAGAGCCTGAACCATGCAGGCGAACGCGCTCGTACATACATGCATACATATCAATTTCCATTTTAGCCTTCTGGTGTGCGCAACAGTCCTCTAATTAGAACGCACAATGGACCAACGTACCGAATTTGTCCAGCTGTGAGATAGTGCAACCAGAACTGGAAATTCCATGCGCGAATGTTTCCAGCCACTTACCACTTTGATCACATCAGTCTGTGTCCAATCCCTCGATCAAATTTTGTGTCATCGTTCAACTCACTCCCACTAAATACTGTCGTCTGTTTACTGAAGTTCATTGTAGAATTCGTCGAAATTCAGCGGTAGCAATGTGTTTTCGTACAATCCTGAAGATCCCTAATAGCCATTCCAAAGTGAAGCCACCGTGATATTTGAGTGGCTGTGAGTCCACAAATATTCTGGCAGCTGGATTTGTGCGTGACGGGTCCAGCTGAAATCCAAATTTAAGTGGTTACATTACGGTAGTGATCGACGTCTCATTTGAAAGATCGGTTCAGATTCGGCATACTCACTTAACTACAGTATCAAAAATCATATCAACACCTCTTCGAACACTCGGCGATAGGCTAAAGCAAACCAAATGACGCTGACATATCCGTTACTCTAAACGACATGGCACAGGCGGAGAAACACACGGGCTGTTGGCTGGTGAACGTAAACTAGCGAGTTTGCTTTATGTGTTACACAGAAATACGACCAGCCTGGTGTATTGTGTGATGGCAATGACGGACTGATGAAAACAGAGGATGGCCGAGAATGAACAGTCCTGGAAGCTGCTCCTCATTGACCACAGCGAGTGCAAGGCAGATGTACTGGTGGGCTACTGAAATGTTTCTAGGGTAGGTAAAACACACTTATCTACTGTCTGACATTTTACAAGGTGAGCGATATTCTCCTGCAGCATGTTCTGAAGTTCACCACCTTTGATGAT